CATTTTCATATAATTTTTATATAACTTTCATATATTTATTTCTAAACTTTCTTTACAATATTTTTAAAGTGTTTCACAGATTTTGTATGACAATTTAATATTTTTTTTATAACATTTTAAAATACGTTCGTAAAATACTAGTTTAAAACGTTGTATTAAAAAAAATTAAAAGTTTATAAACTTCTAAGTAAAAAGCATTAAAAGTTGGAATAATTTTAAAATATTTACATTATATTGATTTTTTTTTGTTTTTTTATTTGGTAAGTAATATTTTCTTTTTTAATTTTTAAAAGACCCTCCATACTTATTATTACATATTTAATTTATTTAATTTTATTGTTAGATGCTATTTACTTTAAAAATGTTGTATATGCTTCAAAACAGAAGAAAAAAATATAAGAGGCTATATAAAATATTTCACAAAACAAAAACATATGTATTCATTAAAAGTAAAGTTTAAAATTGATAAATATTCAATTAATATTTAGGAAATTATAGATATTTTAATAATAACGTTTGAAAAAATAATACAAACATATATGAAAAATTAAATCGCTATTAAAAGTAGGGAAAATGACTTATCAGGGCAAATAATTTTTCGTTTTGTTCACATTTATGCAATTTTTTTTTGTACACATTTAACCATTTAACTTGTTAATTTGTTCACATATTACCATTATTACCTGCTATAACCGGTGACAATGACAATATATGAACACATATAACAAGTTAAATGCTCAAATGTGTTCAAAAATGAAGAAGTTGCCTAAATATAAACAAAGCGACAAAAATGATTACCCTTGTAAGTCATTTTCCCAAAAGAAAGCAATCAACAAGGTTTAAGTTAGAAGAGAGAATGCATAATATTATGTAACATGAAAATTTAACATTTGATACTACAAAAATAGGGTTACAACAACACTCCTATTTACCCAAGTCCATCACAGAGAAAGAAATCAGTTTCCAAAAGAATTAGGTGGGGCCAACTGTGATTTAGTGCGGCCAATAATGTTTATATAAAAAAAACATTTTATATATCTACCTATTATATATTATAATGATGAGGGCTACGTCTAAATGGGGCCATACACCCCCTCAACATACATTGGATCCGCTACTTCTTACATTCATCAAATGAGTCTGCATTTTACTTAGTTAGTGTTTGTTTTTTGTCTGCAGATCTGCGTGGTCTCTTCTGTCTGCGCCGCGCAGACATTAGCCTTCGCAGACTGTTTGTTTTTTTGAAGACATTAGCCTTCGCAGACTGTTTGTTTTTTTGAAGACTGCAAAGACGTCCGCCATTGTTATTCTTCTTCATCTCATTCTGCATACAAGTATGTACTTTAATTATGCCATTCTTCTTCTTCTTCTTCTCATTTTGCATACAACTATGCATTTGTATCTGTGACGATCACTTCATCCGGAACAAATTCAACCTATAAATAAAAAGTGATTATAGTTTGCTAAAATGTTCAGATCTCGCACTCTATGTGTTTGCTAAAATTTCTCAGACAAATGAAATTCCTATCATATCTAATATTCAATTGTATATAACATGCTTATATAATCTATTTCACAAACTTGTTGGATATACACTACATATGCCCATATAGATGAAATGCGTTCAATGTATCGGATGCATTATAAGTTTTTACAAAAAACTTTTGAACCAAATACTTTTGCATATAGGATTTGCAAAAATCATGAATTACTGAAAGAAATAGTAGGATTATTCAACTTAAGTAAGGACCGTGAGTTAATACAACAGCAAATTTCGTTTATTTACTCAATAATGCAACATACATATGGAAAAGCAAAAAAATCAGGAACATGTTATGAGTGTGTACGATTAAGAACATTACCAATTTCTATTTCCGTTCAGCATTATTGAGTAAATAAACGAAACTAAAATTCCAAAACCAAAAGATGGTGTGTCGGCAACCTTGTGATTAAATTTTCTTGAATAAATTTGATTTTGAATCTTTTTTGTTCATGATAACATAATGGTTATATTTTGTTGGAATGATTCAAAAGGATTCAAATTGTTTATTGGTGTTTGTTTGTTAAAATTGATAAGCCCCAAAGTTACTGTTAGGTATAAGGGTAGAATCGTCTTTTTAATTAAGTGTTTGTTTGTTATCTCTACAGGTGGTACAATTGTTCTTGGGGACGATTTTCTCTGTCAAATTGTTGTTTATTATTGTGGTACATCCTTGAGAGTATAAGTAGCTGGGTGGTACTTGATGTATTATTAACTATATAGAGGTTCTATATGTGTTGCACAGAACTTGATTTGTATATCTTTTTCGGCCTTATTTTGCATCCACACTCCACCCACTTCTATATAATGATTTCCTTATTTTGTGTATTCGTTGTAAATTGATTTTTTTTCCATACTCAACTAACTACTTTGTGATAGGTCGTTTTAAGTTATAATATATGAGTATACTACCACATTTCTACCACTTTAAACACCAAATTGAAAATATTATGTTTTACTGTTTGTGTAAGCGAACATTACAAAAATAGAATATTTTTAAAAAATGCAACATCCTGCGTACATTTTACTATCATTATATATACCAATTTGCTTAAATACAGTGTATATTTGTTACCTTGCAGCTTGTACGCAAGGTTGGAATATGCTTCTACACATTGCTAAACTCAATTCTTTTTTAACCGTGTTGTCACTGTGTTTGTGTGTAATTATGTATGTCATTTGTATTTGTGTGTCTTTAATTTTATTTTATGTGTATCAATGGGCTGCAGCCGGAACAACACCCATCGTTGATGTATTTTTTTTGGTTTCTTGTGGAAAAGAGTCTGTTTGCTGTTATATTCAATGATCATATGGACATAAACACCATCATTACAAGCAAAAATATATTCAATTGTCTTAAAAGTAACAATTTAATTAAATAAATTAACACTTTTCGTTACACTATTTATTACAGGAATATAAAAGTTTAAAGATTTAGAACAATATATGGATTCTACGGACCCTAAGGAAAGACGAAAACATAGAAAATTACATATGGATAAAAGAAAATTCAATGTTACGTCTAGCATGCCAATTGGTAATCGTTTGTATACAGTTGAATTTTTTATATTGTAATTTGAGAGGTTAATATCAATTAATTTATACAAAATATTGTATTAGATCCAATCGAATCTTCATGTCATATAACTAATATATCTTCTTAATTTGTTTTCTTACTTTTATATATATATCAGATGTGGGTTATCGGCAACAACATATAATTTATTCAAATAAGTCTACATATGTTACCCGTTTTGATGAAAACGTTAACCCAAATATAGCATATGGATTTCAGCACACAAGTTTCCAATCTTCTTCCATTGTTAATATCAAAGGTCCGTTATATAACGATGCCAAGGTCAAAAGAAAACAAAGAAAAATGTATTTGGATAATAGAAGATGTAATGGTATGTCCACCACGCCAATAGGTATTCCATATAGTATATAAAATATATTTGTTTATCCAAATCCGTTTGTATCTTTTGAACTAATTGATACATATTTGTATTTACTAATGTTTTTATTTTATAGCTAATTGTGGTCGTGTTCAACAAAATTTCGAATCTACTTCCAATTTTAATTTAAGAACTCCGTTATCTAATATTTCCAATAGTACGAATACATTCTATTTAACATTTTTTTTATTTTATATGTTACTTATGTTGATCTACATGCATTATACATATTTCAATTTATGTTTGTATCCGATTCATTTCTAAGTTCAATACTAACAATCGAACATTGTCAACCACGCCAATAGGTATTCCATATAGTTTATGAAAAATATTTGTTTATCCAAATCCGTTTGTTTCTTTTTGAACTAATATCTGTATTTACTAATGTTTTTATTTTATAGCTAATCTTGGTCGTGTTCAACAAACTTCCGAATCTACTTCGAATTTTACTTTAAGAACTCCGTTATCTAACATTTCCAACGGTACAAATACATTTCGTTTAACATTTTTTTTTTATATGTTACTTATGTCGATCTGCATGCATTATACACATTTCAATTTATTTTTGTATCTAATTCATTTCTAAGTTCAATACTAACAATCGAACATTATCCACCACGCCAACAAGTATTCTATATTTTATGAAAAATATTCGTTTATCTAAATCCATTTGTTTCTTTTTGGACTAATTAATACATATTTTTACTTACTAATGTTTTTATTTTATTGCTAATCTTGGTCGTGTTCATCGAACTTCCGAATCTACTTCCAATTTTAATCTAAGAACTCCGATATCTAATATTTCCAATGGTACGAATACATTTCGTTTAACATTTTTTATTTTTATGTGTTACTTATGTCGACCTGCATGCATTACGTGTATCTCCAATTCATTTCTAAATTCAATACTAACAATTAAAACATTGTCCGCAGGAAATGGACAATAGTTTGTATTATTTGATCATACGAGCTCATCGACTTCATCAGGAATCACTCGAGATTCTTCCATAAGTTTGTCATTCGGGAATCAAACATTAAAAAGGAAGAGTGCAAATATATCTGCTATACCCTTTTTTGACTTGACATCAGATGAAGACTTAAATGATCATCACATTCTTAAAGATGTGATTTCAGGTCTCTCAAAAGGTAATGTTCATTATCAATAACTCCATATATTTTTAATTAAACTAATTCTCTATTAAACTTTAATTTTTTTCAATCTTTTAACAACTTTTTTATATATATCAGATTACTTGGACCATGGTGATGAGACTCTTGTGTGTGCAATCTGTCATGCAAAATTATGGAAAGATGAAGCCCATCGAGGTAATAAATCTGGGAAGAACACATATTTTTCCATGTGTTGTGGTAAAGGCAAAGTTGAGCTTCCTAAATTAAAAGAAGCGCCTTCAGAATACCTAAATCTATATCGTCATCTTGATCCCAAATGAAAATATTTCATGAAGAATATTCGTCGCTTCAATTCGATGTTTTCATTTACTTCGATGGGTGGAAAAATTGACTCTTCCATTAACAAAGGCAATGCTCCGTACACTTTCAGACTTAGAGGTCAAAATTATCATAGTATAGGAAGTCTTATACCTTCATATGGATCCAAACCAAAGTTCTCTCAACTTTACATATATGATACTGAAAACGAAGTTTCAAATAGACAAAACGCTTTCAGGTTTGTCTTCATATTTATTTTCATATGCTTTTTTAAAGAAAATTATTAGATATATATTTAATTATTTAATTAGTGAATATTTCATACAACCTTTATTATTAGCAGTAAAGAAAAAGACGGGTGTATATCACCTTCTCATTCACTTGATATCGAGATCATACAGTTATTGAAGGTCATGTTGGATTCAACAAATGAACTGGTTAAGTGGTATAGAATGGCAAGAGATTGTTTTTCTGAAAATCCTCATATGGATTTAAAGTTACATCTTATAGGAAGAAGGCAAAAATATGGACGAACGTATAACTTACCTACTGCTTCTGAGGTTGTTGCTTTGATTGTTGGTGACATTTGTGATTCAATTGATAATAGAGATATCATTGTAACAACTCAGTCAGGAAGTCTACAACGTATAAATGAATTACATTTTGCTTACCTTGCTCTTCAATACCCACTACTCTTTCCTTATGGAGATGATGGATATAGAGTTGACATCCCTCATAAAGGTGTTACGCCTTAAACGGATACCAAACGACGCAACTGTACAATGAGAGAATTCTTTGCTTATAGAATTCAAGACAGAGTGAATATTTTTTCATTAGTTTTGAATTCAAAAACACTTTTTCAACAATTCCTGGTTGATGCCTATACGATGATCAAAAGTGACTGACTATATTACGTACACAACAAACAAAAAGTACTTAGATGTGAATCTTATGAAACTTTGCGTAGCCTACAAAGTCATGGAAATACTAATATTTCCAACATCGGAAACGCGTGATCTTGCCTTCTTCTTTTACAGGTGGTGCACGATACATGTTGCATAACTATTTAGATGCCATGTCTCTTTGTAAGTGGTATGGGTACCCAGATTTTTTTTATAACTGTAACATGTAATCCAAAGTGGCCAGAAATTAAAAGGTTTCTTAAGGATACAACGCTCAATCCCAAAGACAGGCCAAATATCCTATCTAGGCTATTTAAAATGAAGCTCGATTCATTGATTACAGACTTAAAGACAAATGCATTATTGGGTTCGGTCCAAGCAGGTATGGTATATAACAACTATAATTTAAACATGTTTATATTTATAGTATAGATTTTTTTTTTATTTTCAATATTTTATACTATGATGTTTAATAATATACATTTGTAGTTGTTTACACGGTGGAGTTTCAAAAACGCGGCTTGCCTCACGCCATATATGTCTATTCGTGCACTCTGATTACAAGTTGCTTACTGTTAAACATATTTATCGAGTTATTTATGCTGATATTCCAAAAAAAAAAGACGAGGATCCAGAATTATATGCACTTGTCAGCGAGTTCATGATGCATGGTCCTTGTGGTGGTGATAATCCTAAATGCCCATGCATGACTGATAACAAGTGTTCAAAAAACTTCCCGAAGCCATTCTTAGATCATACTTCTTTTGATTCAAATGGTTATCCTATATACAGGAGACGTAATGATGGTTCATTTGTTGAAAAGTCGGGTGTGAAATTAGACAACAGAAGTGTCGTTCCATATCACAAAGTCCTTTTGAAAAGATATCAAGCTCACATTAATGTTGAATGGTGCAATCAGGCTGCTTCCATCAAATATTTGTTTAAATATATTAACAAGGGTCCTCATAGGGCTACCATGATAGTTGTCCAAAGCAACAACTCAGATGATACTGAAGATGCAGTTGATGAAATAAAGAAATACTACGATTGTAGATATTTGTGTGCATGTGAAGCCTCGCTGCGGATATTTTGGATTTGATGTTCATTACAGGTATTAGCACTAAACACATTTTGATTTAGAAAAAAAAAGATAAATTGTAAAACTAATTATTTTTGTTAATTAAATAATAATTATTTATAGGTATCCTTCTATTGTTAGAATTCCTTTCCATCTTCCTGGACAACAAAATGTTGTGTATGGTGCAGACGACGATATTGACGATGTCCTCGGCAAACAATCTGTTTCTTCTTCAATGTTCTTAGCTTGGATGGCATGTAACAAACATAATAAAGAAGCACGAAAACTTTCATATGTTGAATGCCCTACAAAATTTGTATGGAAATTGAAAGATCGTTGCTGGAAGCCAAGAAAAATAGGAAAATCGATCGGTAGAATTCATGCAGTTTCACCTAATCTCGGTGAAGTATATTTTTTAAGAATTCTTTTAAATAAAGTCAAAGGTCCGAAATCGTTTGAGGATATCCGTATGGTAAATGGACATGAATATGCTACTTTTAGAGAGGCATGATATGCTCTTGGACTTTTAGAAAATGATAGAGAATATATTGATGCCATCGAGGAAGCGAGTCATTCAGGGTCTAGTTACTATTTACGATCTCTATTTGCAATTATACTAAAGTCGAATAGTTTGTCTAAACCGTCCTGTGTTTGAGAAAATACATGGAAATATTTATCGGATGGAATTCTATACAATCAACAGATGCGATTAAAGTCTCCAGGTATTATGATATTCTTCAACATTTAAATATATGCATTAATAATATACTTATTTTTAGTAAGTTTTTTTATTCACAGTTACATTTTTTTCGTAATATGTTAAGATATTATTTTTGAAAACATTATTTCTATGTACTTATGATTGTGTATATTTCTTTATAAATAATTAACTTTCAATTTATACAGGTTTATCGCTTACTGAGGATCAACTTAAGAACTTGACCCTTTATGAGATTGAAAAAGTTTTACTCCAGAACAACTCAAGCCTCAAAGATTATTATGGGATGCCTTACCCTGATCATGAATCTATATCTTCTTCAAACAATCGTTTGATAACCGAGGAGCTAGATTTTGACAGGACCGTTCTACACAACGAGTTGATTCAACTGATGGATTCATTAACAGTTGAACAAAGATGTGTTTTTGACGATATCATGAAACATGTTCAACAAAAAAAGGAGGCGTGTTTTTTGTATATGGCTATGGTGGTACTGGGAAAACTTTTCTTTGGAAGACATAATCTACAGCCTTAAGATCCGAAGGTGAAATCGTTTTAAATGTTGCTTCAAGTGGCATTGTTTCGTTATTACTGACAGGAGGTAGAACGGCACACTCTCGCTATATAATTCCTATAAATCTTACTGAGGATTCTTTTTGTTCTTTCGCACCGGATAGTGATGTTGCCGATTTGTTAAAAAGAACATCATTGATTATATGGGACGAGGCACCAATGATTCATAAACATGCATTTAAAGTGTTGGATCGATATTTGAAGGATATATTGAGTTGTGATCTTCATAGCAACTCAAAATTGCCATTTGGAGGAAAATCAATTGTTTTTGGAGTCGATTTTAGGCAGATTCTACCTGTTGTTCCAAACGGAAGTAGACAAGACATTGTGAATGCTTCATTAAGTTCCTCCTACATTTGGTCAGATTGCAAAGTCTTAAGATTAACAAAAAACATGAGGTTGAGTGATCGAACAAATGATATTGAAGAAACAAAGACCTTTGCAAACTGGCTTTTGGATATAGGAGAAGGAAATGTTAGTGGCTTCAATGATGGTGAGGCAATTATTGACATACCAGATGATCTTCTCATTACTGATTCATCTGATCCAATCGGTTCATTAATTGCATTTGTCTATCCTTCTATTATTGAAAATGCCAAATCCCATGTTTTTTCAAGAAAGAGCAATCCTCGCACCGAAAAACGAAGTTGTTCAAGAAATAAATGATCGTCTGTTATCACTATTTACAGGTGATGAAAAAGAATACTTGAGTACAGACAGTCTTTGTCATTCAGATTTTGTTCATAATGACTTTGATGAAAGTTTGTATTCGTCGGTTGTTCTAAATGGTCTTAAACCGTCAGGTTTGCCGATCCATAAGTTGGTATTAAAAGTCGGTGTTCCGGTTATGTTACTAAGGAATATTGATCCGAAAAGCAGTTTATGTAATGGAACGAGACTACGTGTTATAACATTGGGTAACCTTGTTATAGAACCAGAGATAATTTTCGGAAGTAATATAGGAAACCGTACTTTTATTCCAAGAATGTCCTTAACTCCTTCAGAAAAAAAAAATTCCTTTCATATTTCAAAGAAGACAATTTCCATTGACTTTATGTTTTGCAATGACAATAAACAAGAGTCAAGGACAATCGCTATCGAAAGTGGGTTTATTTTTTAGACAACCAGTGTTCACTCATGGAGAGTTGTATGTTGCATTGTCGAGAGTTAAAAACAAAGATGGATTAAAAATATTAATTTTAGACAATGATTGTAACATTAGCAATAAAACGTCTAATGTTGTATTCAAAGAAGTATTTGGAAATTTGTGAGTAATTTTTTAAAATATTTCAATACTCGTTTTTTATTAGTATAGGTTTAATTATTAAATTAATCATCATTTTGTTTATATTTATTTCTAAATTTCAGCTTTGTATTACTGTACCATGCTAAAATAAATATGAATGTGTAATCATTAATCATTTAGCTATAATTTTTTTATTAATTGTACATTTAAAAAATAAGAAAATAATATTCAAATAGAATGCTATTTATTGTATGATTGTCAAAATGATTATTTGTCGTTAAAATGATCAAAATAACAACTTTTAACAAATAAAATTGATTTATGTTTTAAGAGTTTCATATTAGTGTATTGTTTTTTTTTGGTATGCCAAGTTTAAAACAATGAAAATAAATTATTAATATACATGTAAAATCTAACTAAATTGGATATAAAGGTCAAAATAGTCATTTAGATTAAAAATAGAAAAAATATATTTTATAATCTTCTTACTACTATTTATTTTCAATTTAGTTATGTCAAATTAATAAACTTAGACAAATTGTATTTTATGAAATAATTGACAAAATAATGTCAATCAATGTCATTTTTAATACAAAAAAATAAAAATAAATAAATTAATAAATTAAGGAGGAACACTACATTTTCAAAATCATTTTCTTAAAATGACACTATTTTTCATTTTCCCTACAAAAACAAGTTTGTCACGCTCGTATTTCTTGTTGGGTAGTTGGTGTCTTTTCAAACTCACAAAGCAATAAAAAGGGAAAAGCAAGTGGCAGACAAAGAAATGTGGAACACCTCATTTGGAGGAAAAGCAAAGGAATGCATCCATTCTTTATTTCCTTAAGCATCGGCTCTTTGCCTATAAATAGAACATTCATCATTCATTTGTAGATGTACCAACTTGTACTGTAATCTTCTAGCAATAATAAAATCTCTAGTTGCGGCCCGTGGATGTAGGATTTGTACCGAATCCGAACCACGTAATATTCTTGTGTTCTTCTTGCTTTATTTTCTCGTTTCGTTTGTGAGTGTGTGATAGTGTGTTTCCGCTGCGTGTACCCGGTCCGATTCCTAACAACTGGTATCAAAGCCTGGTTAGCGAGGTTTTGGAGGGTACGATCGTTTTTCTGTCACACACGAGTGTACCTTATTTTTTTTGTTTGCCGTAATGGCTGAAGACAAGGTTATAATCGAAAGGTTTAATGGTTCTGATTTTAGCTGGTGGAAAATGCAATTAGAAGCAATGCTATGTCAGAAAGACTTGGACGTGGTACTCGGAGACAAACCGGAGAAAATGGAAAAAGCTGCTGAAGATGCGTGGAACTCAAAGGACAAGAAAGCCAAGACGGTTATTACATTGTCGTTGACGAAGAGCGTTGCTTTCAACATCATGAATGAAACCACGGCGCGCGGTATGATGGAGGCTCTGTCAAATATGTATGAGAAACCATCGGCGGCTAACAAGGTGTTCTTGATGAAGGAGCTGTTCACTACAAGGATGAATGAGGAAGGCTCAGTTACGGTTCACATTAACAATCTAAATTCAATTCTGTCCAGATTATCATCTGTGGGAATTAAATTTGATAATGAGACTCAAGCTTCGCTGCTACTAGCTTCTCTACCTGATAGCTGGTCCGGAACAGTTACTGCTGTTATGAGTTCCGTGGGGACCAGTGGTATGACTTTTGAAGGGGTTAGAGATTTGGTTCTAGGCGAGGATATCAGACGCAAGAATCAAGGTGGATCTTCCTCTTCTGATTTATTAAATGTCGGAAGAGGTAGAGGGAATAGCAGGAATAGTGGGAGCAGTGGGAGTCGGGGAAAAAGTTCTTCTAGAACTTTGAAGAATGTGAAATGCTGGAACTGTCAAGAAGTGCGACATGTTAAGAGTCAATGTCCAAAGAAAGAATTGAACATTGCTGATGCTGAGAATTTTTCTGGGGATGATGCATTGTTACTCAGTATGGAAAGTTCTGTAGACTCTTGGGTCATGGATTCAGGGGCTTCGTTTCACGCCATGGACAACGGGGAAACAATGGTGAATCTAAAAGAAGGAGATTTTGGGAAGGTACGGTTGGCAAATGACGAGATGCTTCAAGTAACGGGCATAGGAGATATTGATCTGGTTACTTCATTGGGAACTACATGGAACCTAAAGAATGTCAGGGTGATTCCGGAGCTGAAAAAGAAATTGATTTCTGTTGGTCAGCTGGATAAACAAGGACTGGAAGTAAGGTTTGGTGGTGGTAAATGGAGCGTGGTCAATGGTAATTCGGTGATTGCTCATGGTATAAAGTGTGGGTCATTGTATATGGTTGAGGTACCTGCTGAGGGAAGTATGACCGTCCCTGTTAAGCAAGACAAAATCTGGTTCGCTAAATCTACGGCTAAGAGAGTTCATTTTGCAAACATGAATTCTGGAGCCAATGGGATGTTAGCTGAATGAGTCGGAAAGTCTAAACCAGTCAGGAGATTCTGTGACAGTGGGAGCACGGGGCGTGTTCCGGGTACAGTTACAAAGAGCCGTTGGGTTTTGAAGACTAAGACTGAAAAATTCTCTCCTGTTGGAAGTTTGCTAAGTTTGGAGAGTGTTAGTGGTCCTCGGTGTATCTCTGGATCCGGTGGAGTGTCCAAACCAGTTGAGACAGAGGATGAGTCGGTGGCGGGATTAGCCACGGCTGAGTTGGAGCTAGTGGGAGCTTCAACTGGCCCTTCTTGTACTTGATGATGAGGGGCGGCTGCAACTAGAAAAATGAGACTAAGTTTAGCTTGTTCTTGGGAACAGGAAGCTTGGAAGACTTGTCTGGTTTAGAGATTACTGAAGTGACTGAGGAATGTTGCTAGAGTTGGATGGTAGAAAAAGCCTGAGTTGTTCAAAGCCCCAAGTGGGAGATTGTTGGGTAGTTGGTGTCTTTTCCAACTCACAAAGCAATAAAAAGGGAAAAGCAAGTGGCAGACAAAGGAATGTGGAACACCTCATTTGGAGGAAAAGCAAAGGAATGCATCCATTCTTTATTTCCTTAAGCATCGGCTCTTTGCCTATAAATAGAACATTCATCATTCATTTGTAGATGTACCAACTTGTACTGTAATCTTCTAGCAATAATAAAATCTCTAGTTGCGGCCCGTGGATGTAGGATTTGTACCGAATCCGAACCACGTAATATTATTGTGTTCTTCTTGCTTTATTTTCTCGTTTGGTTTGTGAGTGTGTGATAGTGTGTTTCCGCTGCGTGTACCCGGTCCGATTCCTAACATTCCTGTATTGTTTATGTGGTCACGATAATTCGATACAAAATTTTCTTATTTTACCGACAATTTGCCTGTATAACTGTACAATCGGAAGTCAATTTTAAATCCCCTAAAAATCAGCAAAAATTTGGCAGGGAATTGATGTTTTCGTGAAATAATAGGCTACGATAAAGGATTTGATTTTTAAATCCACAGCGTAATATCTTAATTTTTTAGGAAACCGAATGGATTCTATAATCAAAACTGTGTATAAATACGTTTGCTATCATGTATCATATTGTCGCAATTTCCCATCTTTAGTTACAGGTATGCATTTTATTTCCTTCATCTTATACATACCATCGTCTGATAATATTCAAAAACTAATCTTACATTATTTGTTGATTGAATGCTTCATTCGGATGGTTAATTTTTTATGTTTGCTAAAATGTTCATATCTCGCACTCTATGTGTTTGTTGAAATGCCTCAGACAAATGAAGTTCCTATCATATCTAATATTCAATTGTATATAACATGCTTATATAATCTATTTCACAAACTTGCTTATTGATATACAGTACTTATGCACATGTAGATGAAATGCGTTCAATGTATTGGATGCATTATAAGTTTTTACAAAAACTTTTGAACCAAATACTTTTGCGTATAGGATTTGCAAAAATCATGCATTACTGAAACAAATAGTAGGATTATTCAACAGAATTAAGGACTATGAGTTAATACAACAACAAATTTTATATGAATATATTGGACTGTGACTTAAGTTTTATTAGCATTGTTTATAATGTAGCTTTTGTTGGTTGTGTGTGTTACAGATTCATGGCTCCAAAAAACGTCACACTACTTGGACAACTTGATTTGTCGCATGAGAAGTTCACTTTGAAAGTTCTAGTCATTCGCTTGATTAACAACTAACTTATGATAAAAAGAAGACCTTTCGTATTGATATGTTATTAGTTGATGAAGAGGTATTTATTCAATTTACTATTTTTTTTGTCTCATTTTTGTTAAGCATACTACTTCTCATTGGTGGATAATAATTATGTTATTATTCTAGATTATGGTTTTTGCATATAGGGTACTAAAATTGAAGCTCAAGTTCCAAGTAGGTGGGTATTTAGATTTGAAAAGATGCTTGCTGAAAATGAGACTTATTATGTTGAGAATGTTGGTGATAACACTACGGATAACAAATTTGTGATTAATTCAAACAAATTACATTTGTGTCTCATCACAATGGTTACCAAATCCAATGATTTTGTGGGGCCTATGTACGGTTTTTCTTTTGGGAACTACCAAACAATCATTGAAAATAATATTCCAGAAAAAACACTAGTTGGTTAGTGCCTAATCTGAATTTAATTATTTAATTTATTATTCTTTTCTTTCTTACACTACCATTCCTAATATCTATGTTATACTTTTATTTTCTTTAGATGTAATTTTGGTTACGTGCTATTATATTTTCCGATGGAGACTTTTATGTCAAAGCATGGCAAGGAAGCACGTAGACAGAATGTGCAAATTCAAGATTTAGAGTGAGAAACAGTTATTGTACCTAAAACAACATTATAGTTTAACAAATAATAAATTTCCGCCACTTTAACAACAAATTGAAATATATTTTATTAGAAACCAATTGTACTGTTTTGACCCTACTCAAATAACTACTACATAATAATTCATATTTATTCAATTTTTTACACAATAACCTGAAATCTAACTCTTTTTTGCAGGCCGTTTGTCTTTTTCAAATTGGTACTTTGTTACCAAGCTTTACATCAATGATAACATAGAAGAAATCCTAACATTCAAGAACACGTTAGATAGCTTCCATCTTTTTTCTTAATATTGCATTGTTTTTATGCATTTTTATATAACAAAAATTAAACTTTATTCATGAACAGTTTGGTTTCCAAAAATTCTTTTGAAAATGTGTCTGGTAATCGTAGCAAAGATTCATCATCCATGTTGTATTCTGAGACCGATGAGTTTCTTTTGAAAGAATGACTTCAAGCCCATTACTGAAATCCAAGAAATCACAAAGGTATATTTTGTTGTATTTTTTTAAGTTTTACCTAATTTCAATTGATTGTATTGTAAAACAACTTCTAATTTTTATAGGTAAGCCGAGTAATTGTGCTTGGTACAGTTAAGCGTGTGTGCACAAATTTTTCATGGTATTATTAGGGATGTAAATCGTGTCATAAGTGGTTGTGTGTTCATCATCAATCTGCAAAAATAAAGTTGTTTCTGTTCTTCCTAGGTATTGAACACATACTTTATGCTTTCTCTTTGTTATTATTTTTTTTACAAATTAATGTAGTATTTCATTATTGTGTTTTAGTATGTTTAGGTTTATAATCCCAATTAGAGTCCAAGATCGCACAGGAGTAATTTCATTGATTCTTTTTGATGGTGATGCTAATAGGCTTTTAAGAAAAAATGCACAAGAATTGCTGGAATGTTTTTTAATGAGGTTGGGTCTGTTTTACTATACAACTTAATTGTTATTCTCATGTTTTATCTTACACGTTATTAAATTGCATTTGTCTTCTAGGTTGGTAATAACCATATTTTCCCCGTTGCAATTACTCAGCTGCTTGAGAGGAAATTTGTGTTTCTGATTATAATTTGAAAAATTAAGTTCAAGGGTATTCAATATGCAAATTGACTGCTGACTGTAAAATACTTTCTGAACTTGAAAAGAAGTTTACAATTGACCAGGTATCAATTTTGCACAATTTATTTAATCCCTATAATATTTATATTGTTTAAGCAATTCTTAGTGTGTTCTTATTTGCAGCATGTTGATTCTGACTCTTTCAACACTGCAACCTTTGAAGTCACATCTCAAGAAACTACCAATTCAAAGGTGCTATTTATTTTACATTTAAAGTTAAATTTAAATTTAACTTCATTTGATTTACTACTTAACTAACATTTTTTATGTACTTAAAAAAAGGATGCAATATCATTCACGGGAGATAATATCACTCCGGCCTCTAATGTTGAGAAAAGCACAACGACAAGTCCGTTGGCCAAATACCGTTTTTCTAAAGTTGTATCTCCTAATGCAAAGCTAAAGCACAATCTTTCTGAAGTTTACGATGTTGATGACCCACCAGCAATGTCATCAACAAAAGTGTGTTCAACTATCATGGATGATGGCTTTTTGGGACATAGCAAGATGGAACTTTTGATTCCAAAAAATAGAGAAATAAATGCATCTTTAAGCATTTAAAATCAATTGGATATTTTAAGTGCATTCTCCCTTTTAAAACTATTTCAACATTTGTTTTTTCTTTGTGCGGGGTTGTTTTGCTTTGATGGTTGGAACTATTTGACATTATTTTAATGGGCTTGAATTACCTTTATGAAGTTATTAGGATTGTTTTGGTGAAAATTGCATTTCGTTTTTCCTGGTTTGCCCTTGAATTTATACATCTTTACTTAAAAAACGCAAAAAAGCAAATAAAAAATCAACTTTATAACACATATTCTCTTTATAGCACATATTAGCTTCCTTTTATTCCAATATAATAGAGTTTTATGATTTTACTGTATTAAATATGTTTGCTTTAATAAAATACACAAATTGCAACAAATTTGTGTATGTTGCTCCTCTCATAAAAACTACTTTATACTAAGTCATAATTTTGCATTGTATCCTTCTTTTTATTATGCATTTCATAAATGAAATTAAACAATTCAACTTTACAGAATATGCATAATGTAATAACATTCTACTTTATAAATTGTTAATTTTTAACATTATAGAGTTATATGTGGGTTTAGTTTTATGATTTTGCAGTTCTTAAATAACATTTCCCCTGCTCCTGTTGTTTTTGTTTGTTAATTTGTGTAATAGCATCATAATGCTTGGATTTAGGTTTCTCTATTGTACACGCAATTCATCCAATACTTTACAAACCCTAGATCTAGTGTATATATTTCGAAATTGACATAATCAATAAGATCTAGATGATTACCTCTTCTTCAAAAGCTTTGGATCTTCTTGTCTTTGGAGCTCTGAGTCACAAATGTCACTGCTCTAATGGCTTGCAAACATCACACAAGCAAGAGGATGATAATGGAGATGCACAATTTGGCTATGATCTCTCTAGGGTATCAAGTGGCTGAAAATTGCAAGCCTTAGGGTCCTATTTATACTGGTGCTGCTAGGGTTTCAGTCTAAACCCTAATGGACAGCTTAGGCCTTAAGCAATCCAAGGAAGCTTCTGGAATAGGACCCTTATGGCCGAAATTATGGATGGACACATCCTAATTTCGTCAATGCCTAGTCCAAGAGGCTCCTCAGCCCAATACTCAACTATCACACATTTGACAGTTTAAGTCCCTGATATTAAATTAATGTCTTTTAGCCACAAAATTAATTTCTTAATTAATTCTTGTCTAATATTAATTTAATTATATGACTTCTCCATTAATATATTATTCATATAATATATTAATAAACCATATTAACCTCTCTATTCATAAATCACCCTATCAAGTTGCTTTGGTGAAGGCAACCCAAAAGGATCATGCACAACCGAGTCAAGTACATACCAACTATAGTTACGGGCTTAGACACTAATCCAACAGTCTTCCACTTGGATAAGTCTAGTAACTACAAATCTAAGCACAATCCGATTAGCAATCGTAGCTCTCAAAGACGCTGTCGAACTCTGATCTTATCAGTAACCTGTCCTTTAGATAAGGTATATAGTCCTCTGTTCTGGATATCGTGCAGAAAATTACATGGAACAAAGTCATACTTATTATCCAACAGCTTGTTTCTCGATCTCAGATTCGTTTGACATAGAACTTAATTGAATACATAAATTTAGTCCTGACCGGGCCCGGCACATAAGTCAAACCAAATCATCGAGGGGCCCTGATATCGCTTTTACCCTCTTAGGATAAAAGGAACAGATAAACTTCGACTTATATGCATTTACTTATTCATTAATCAGTTATACACAACAATGCGTTTTATAACATCAAGTTACTTATGCGTTTACGCATTATCAATGCACAACCAATTAGTAAACAATAAACCATATATCTAGGTTTTAAGACCATATGATATTATCGTATTGAGATCACTCGTGATAAATTCAATGAAGTGATTCCAGCAAGCGTGGGTTTATTCCAATGCTCAAATCAAATTCATAATCACTCATGAACGTTGTAGCAAACTTTTGCTATGTCTAATACACTTTAGACAATCTACACACCAATTCATGACAATCTTCATTCATACCTACTTCCAACATATGAACGACTGTGGACCATTCGAATAATTTTATTATTCAGGAAGTCAAAACATGCGAAATGAAACAATAGGTAAACAATTAATATAAGACAATAACTTTACTCATAAATAATACCCACTTATTTAATCATCGAATGTTAATTACAATTTATCTATTACACGTTTCTAAACTATCTAATCTAAACTAATATCGTCCTTCAGCCCAATGCTCCTAGCTTGCTACAAGTGCTTAACCCTACTCAGTCCCTTCGTAAACGGATCTGCTGGGTTATCCTCCAACGATACCCTCTTCACTACGAGGAGTCCTTCTTCTACCCGATGTCGAATAAAGTGATATTTTCTGTCGATATGTCGAGATCTACCATGATCCCTCGGTTCCTTGGTCAAGGCAACCGCTCCTTCATTATCATAGAAAATTTCCATAGGCTCCTGCATGGCTGGCACAACTCCAAGGTCTCCAATGAAGTTCTTCAACCAAATTGCCTCCTTTGACGCTTCGCTTGCTCCAATGTACTCTGATTCGCACGTTGAGTCAGCTACGGTCTCCTGCTTGGAACTTTTCCAAGTCACTGCTCCTCCATTAACGGTAAAGGCCCAGCCCGACTGCGAACGGTAGTTGTCCCTGTCGGTCTGAAAACTGGCGTCACTGTACCCTCGCACCTTTAAGTCATCACTCCCACCGAGGACTAGAAACCATTCCTTGGTCCTCCGAAGGTACTTAAGAATATTCTTGACTACGGTCCAATGTGCTTTGCCAGGGTTCCCCTGATATCTGCTGACCATGCTCAAAGCGAAAGCCACATCAGGTCGAGTACAAGTCATAGCATACATAATCAAGCCAACTGTGGAAGTGTATGGTACTCGGCTCATCTCTGCTATCTCGACTTCGGTACTTGGGATTTGAGTCATACTCAGCTTGGCATTACTTTGGATTGGTAACTCCCCCTTCTTAGAATTCTCCATACTACAATGTTTTAGTACCTTGTCCAAGTAAGTATTCTGACTAAGTCCTATTAGCCTTTTACTTCTGTTTCTCACTATCCTTATTCCCAAAATATAGGCAGCCTCTCCGAGGTCCTTCATAGCGAAGCACTTCCCAAGCCAGGACTTTACTTCCTACAGCGTCAGGATGTCGTTTCCTATGAGCAGTATGTCATCGACATACAATACGAGGAAGCTTACTATACTCCCACTGGCTTTGACATATACACATGATTCATTCTCACTTCATAGAAAACTAAACTCTTTGACTTTCTCATCGAAACAAAGATTCCATCTGCGAGATTCTTGTTTCAGTCCATTAATGGACTTCTCAAACTTACACACTATATTAGGGTGCTTTGCATCGACAAAACCCTCTGGCTGAGCCATGTAAACATCCTCAACCAACTTCCCGTTAAGGAAAGCGGTTTTGACATCCATCTGCCATATGTCATAGTCATGAAATGTAGCAATGGCTAGCATTACCCTAATAGACTTTATCTTTGCAACCGGTGAGAAGGTTTCATCATAGTCAACTCTGGGAGTTTGAGTGAAACCCTTCGCAACCAATCGCTCCTTATAGGTGTGTACATTCCCATCCATGTCGGTCTTCTTCTTGAAGATCCACTTGCACCCGACCGTCTTACGACCTGGTATATTGTCAACCAAATTCCAAACTTGGTTGTAATACATGGACTAAATCTCACTGTCTATCGCCTCTTTCCACTTCGCAGACTCCAGGCCTGCCATGGCTTCCTTATAGCTGTTAGGTTCGTCCAAATTCACTAGTGTACTATCACTAATGAACGTATCCCCTTCTGTAGTAATATGAAAACCATAAAACTGGGGTTGAACCTTAACTCTTTCGGAACGTCTAAGAGGTAAGGACTCGTCAATCGGTTCAACCGGAGTTTCCTCCTCGGGTTGAGTGCCAGCATTAGAGGTTCCTTCATCACTCGACTCTTGAATCTCTTCAAGATCAATTTGCCTCTCACTGTCCCCTTGGTTTATGAGTTCTCGCTCTCGGAAAACCCCTCTCCTTGCAACGAAGACAACATTGTCACTCGGTCTATAGAAGAGATATCCAAAGGGCTTCTGCGGGTAGCCGATGAAAATACACCACTCACTACGAGGCTTGAGCTTGTCGTGAGTCTCTCGTGTTACGAAATCCTCGCAACCCCAAACCTTGATATGTGCCAATGAGGGAGCTTTCCCTATCCACATCTTGTGAGGTGTTTTGGCAACCTTCTTCGTAGGGACTAAGTTAAGGATATGGGCGGCAGTATCTAAGGCATACCCCCAGAATGAGATAGGTAGCGAAGCACGATTCATCATGGAACGAACCATGTCTAGCAAGGTTCGATTACGCCTCTCAGCCACACCATTCAACTGCGGTGTCCTAGGTGGCGTCAATTGCAAAACGATTCTGCATTCCTTGAGGTAGTCGTGGAATTCAAGACTTAGGTACTCTCCACCTCGATCGGATCGAAGCATCTTGATTTTCCCGCCCAACTGATTCTCCACTTCTTGTTTAAACTCTTTGAACCTTTCAAAAGTTTCTGACTTGTGCTTGATTAAGTAGATATACCCATATCTGCTATAATCATCGGTGAAAGTCACATAGAAGCGGCTCGCATCCCTTGTGGTGGATCTAAAGGGCCCACACACATTGGTGTGTATGAGATCCAATAAACCCTCACCCCTCGCACAAGTTCCAGTGAAGGGTGACTTGGTCATCTTTCCAAGCAAACAAGACTCGCACACGTCATCGTCCCTAAGGTCGAATGACTCCAATACTCCATCCTTATGGAGCTGGGCTATGTGTTTCTTGTTGACATGTCCAAGACGACAATTCCACAAGCATGCTTTATCCAAACCATTGGATGAATCAATACACAACACATCATTTCCTAAGTTATCTACAACCATCATAGTTTCATATATTCCATTACAAGGCAATGCTTCAAAATAAAAAACACCATTAAGATAAGCATTAATAGAACGCTTTTCATTATCAAATGAATATCTAAAACCTTGTCTATACAAACCATGAAATGAAATGATGATTCTTGCCATATCTGGAGAATAGCAACAATTCTTTAAATCTAATCCTAATCCACTACTGAGAATTAAAGAGTAAACTCCAATCTTGGTGACGGGCGACGATCTTCTGTTCCCCATGATCAAATTTATCTTCCCATGTTCCACATCCCTATTTCTTCTTAGGCCCTGCAAATCAGAACAAATGTGAAAACCACATCCTGTATCAAGTACCCAAGAAATAGCATGTGATGAATCATTAGATTTAATAGTGTAAATACCTGCGTAGGATGACTTGATCTTCCCATCCTTGATTGCTTGTAGATACTCTGGGCAGCTTCGTTTCCAATGCCCTATCTTGTTGCAGTGGTGACACTCTGCCTCCTTGGGGTTTGAGTCGGGTTTAGCAGAACCAAAATTGGTTCCACCAGA